ATTATGGCCTAATTATCAGTAGCAAGTTCAACGTAAATTAACTTAAAATAATGCTGATTTATGATTTTTAGTTGATAATTAAGATATGAAATGTTTGAGGGTGATAGTAAGTGGTAAATTAAAACGCTTTTGTTCTGAAGTAGATTATTGGTTGATAGTTAACATATAGGATGATTATAATGATAATTAGTCGTAAATTAGGCCCATGATTTAGAAATACAAACCCCCTAAATTTAATTTCAAGATGGTGGAAAAAGAAAACATGTGAGAGATATTTCTCTCATAAAATTGAGAATTACAATGCGAATGATGCGTATACTACCATGAAATTTGGTCAACATTATTATAAGGGTATGTAGAACATGAATACAATGTATGTTAAATCTTATTCACACTTCTGTCTGAAATGTTTATGAATTTAAAAATCTTTTTGAATCAGATCATATAATATTAATCCTAGAATGCAATTTAGGTACTAACATGGGTTACCTATATTTCACAAGTAATCCAAATGTGCTCTTCTAAATAATGATTGTTAGATCAAAGACATTTCAAAACATATTTTTGATTATATCTGTTACGTCCTTATGTAACATTATAGTCTAATGTTTGTGTTCTGATTTTAGTTGTTGATGGCAATAATGATGTTTTCACATGCTTTTCATGAATCTTAAAAATTTGCAAAATAGAATAGCTTTAAAAAAGAGGGGGAGAAACCCCAGGGTTCAAAGATGACATACGCTTATAATGTAAATCTGTATTGAGATGACATCGTCGCTGATTGGTTTAGCGAGTCGATCGTTGATTGGTTTAAATCTAGGTCAATTTGAAAACTTTAAAAACCAAGATGGAGGGTACGTTTTCGACAAAAGGAGGTGTGCGAAGGAGGAAATCTTATGTCATCTATTGAATCATGGGGTTTTCCCTCCTCTTGCTGTGAAATTTCAATAGTTCAAGTTCAATGTTGTCTGTTCTGAAAGATCCTAATTAAGATGAATATTCCGTCACAAAATAGTTCAAGATGAAGCAAAAATCTCCGAGTGAAGGGAAGCAAAAAAGAAGCGAGTCATTTTTGAGATGTCAAAAATCTGACTTAAACCTAACTTTCAACTAATTATCAATAGTAAGTTAGGTGATAATTAGAGATTAACTTACATCAAACTTACAACTAACTTTCAACTAATTTACGTAAATAGCTCATTTGCATATTGATGGTAGTTAATCGTTAATTAAGTTGCAAATTAAGCGTTAATTAAGTTGATAATTAGCTCATTTGCATGTGAATTTTTACACCTAACTTTCAACTAATTATCAATAGTAAGTTAGGTGATAATTGGAGATGATTTTCCATAGGCTTTTTTCAATTGGGTTTATTGTAATTTATCAAAAACAAAAACCATGCTTGAGGTGTGAGTATCGTAATCTAACACGAAATTCAAAAATTTGGAACAATACTTTGCACTTCTCTGCTTCTGGCGTCGTGACCAACTACTACCATACTGTAGGCATGGGCTTTCACCATGATATAGGGGTTCGATTAATCTACATCAAATTATAGGGAATGAGGTTACTTTTCTAGATAGGGTTTGTAGAAAAAACCGGGTACCGGGTAGTAAATCCTCCATGCTGGGTTCAAACTTTTTTTTAATTTTTTTTTATTCCTTCATTCTTATTTATGTACATGTAAATGTAAATATAAATATGTACATGTAAATGTAATGCAATTAATAATATAAATAAAATTTACGTAGACAAACTTGGTACCCGGTCGAAAAACCGGGTAGCCAAAAAACGAAATATACGAATATACAACATAATTAGATCATTAGAAAACGTTTGTTTTGAATTTACAAAAATGTAACTTCCTTCAAAATTGAGCTAGAAGCTTCAAATAAAAAGCATTTTAAGCCTCTTTTCTTCCTCTATCATCATGGTCATATTTCCATTGGTAATGAAGGGGCACCATCACACCCTCTCCTGGCTACGCCAATGACATTTGTGACGATTTGAACAACAAGACAAATCAATTTTACTCTATTTTCAATGAGTTCGTATGTTGGTACGTGAACATAACCAATGAAAATATGGTCATGACGATAGAGGAAGAAAAGAGCCTTAAAATATGCTTTTTATTTGAAGCTTCTAGCTCAATTTTGAAGGATGTTACATACATTTTTGTAAATTCAAAACAAATCTTACACGTTTTCTGGTAATCTAATTATGTTATACTCGTATATTCGTATTTTTCATTTTTTGGGTACCCGTTTTTTGACCGGGTACCGGGTACCAAGTTTGAACCCAGCATGGAGGATCTACTACCCGGTACCCGGTTTTTTCTACAAACCCTTTCTAGATATCAGCGTCCATTTATTGTAACTCGCGTTTGCTAACATTTGCTCAGTTCTGAGATGAAGGCCACACGGATAGTAAAAAGGCCAACGTTGGAACTATTTGTGACCTACATCCCTATTGTTGTAATTAAAATGAAAGTTGAACCCTTCCTCTTTATTTTGATACCAAACAACAGCATGCTAGGTACTTAAAATTAGGTAAACTTTACTCCTCAAAAGTGCAAAAACTTAGCTTCTTATATAAGATAAGATAATCACCATATAGGGGATTGCAACAATTTCGGAAATTCGCGGAGGTCGAAAGCCACATTTGCGGGACTTCGCGGGACATTGCGGGACACGCGAATTAGCCTAATTTTGATCGAATTCGCGGGATAATCCCGCCATTCGCGGGACACTTGACAGCTCTGGAATTAAACAATGGAGTCTGACTTGTTCTGCCATATTGTATATTGTGTTTATTATATATTCTGTTATATTGCACATATTATCATATTCTCAAGTGATCTCTGATTGGCTCGGTGAATTCAGAGATTTATTGTTAACTGAAAGAGTGAAGATGAAGCTCTCTTTTAAGAAGTCAAGCCAAACGAATGCAAAGGGTAGTATTATGGTCATATGTCAGGAAGAAGCATTGAAGTCAGAGTGGTTCTGTCATAGATGTCTAACCACCAGGTCTTAATGTTTTTAATACACTCCACAGACACCTGGTCTGAGATCCTATTAACATCTTATCTGATAGTATTGAACATGTAGTGGTATTCACCTAAACTTATGAGATAAGATAACAATTTGTTAATCTGAAATGTGGCCATCTTTGCGCATTATGCTCATATTAAGCTATCTTTATATAGCAAGTTATGGTATTAATCCTATCAACATGCATTGGCTTTGTTAGTGCACTCTTTGTTTGGTTGTAAATTATCTAATTCTTTGTCATCCTAGATAGTGATATGTAATACCAACAGTGGGACCATGCATTGTTTTATTGTTAGATAAGTTACTTCTGTCTAGTAAAATCATGTTATATGGTGGCAGTGGTGTTTCTTACTGGTCCCAGGTGGGTTGTGATGGTTTGAAGGTTGATAAAGTATGGCGTCACATGTATGACACTATAGCCGTGTTAAACACTGGTGACATTGTTTTCTCTCTTTCATCTAAAAACTTTCAAGTGTTGCATCAACTTCAAAAGAATTTTTTTAGCAAGTTCTCAATGCATGTCATTGTTAATTTTTTCCTGGGTTACCTTGTTAAAGCTTTCAGGATTCTTACTCACCCATATGGCCACTTTTATAGCACTGGCTAAGTTGGTATGATGACATACAAAATTGTTTTTACCCCCTAGCCATATATACTACCATCAATCATCCCCAGTGAAAACTAGACAACCAAATATCACATCTCTGCATTTACACATAATAATGCTTAGTAGTTATAGGAAAATAGAAGGCAAAGATAAAGAAAATGTAATTTAAGACATTTTAACACCTTATTCAACTTTAAAGAAAAAATTCTTGATATCTGTTGAGAAATATTTTGGTTTGGCTGACATGACATATTAAAAGGATAACATTTCAAATTTTTGTTTTTTTATATTGTAGAATAAAGTAACTTGTTTGTTTTTTATAATTCATATATTTAAATTGTTAATGTTTCAGGAGATTACTCAGTTCAAATCAGTCCCCAAGAACTACATGTGCAATGTGCAGTATATTAATCAGTATAACTTATCTCATCCAGAATTTGTCAGTTTAGTTTCTATAGTGACCGCTCTGTTACAGTCATTAACAAGTGAAATTTAAGCCTAGATTTGGGTCAGTTAGAGTGATAGGGCCTCATTTTGGGCTCATTACACTTTTGAGTTGCTGTTGCTATGGAAACCAACATCTGGTTTCCAGTGAAGATTCTATTTATTTGTCAGTTGTCAACCAGCAAGTAAAATGACATGTTTGTAATTGTAGTTCATATGAATGATATTAGGTATTTTTAGAATAAACAAAAAAGAAAATTTGTACATAGTTTGTTTCTATGAATTTTCTAATTTAATTAAATGTGAGTCCTGAAAGAGTTATTGATGGAAAGGCATGAGGGATGAAATGTTTTGCTTGGGATTTAACACAGTCTCAGGAAACATATGTCAAACATATGATAAAATACAACCACAAAACATTATAAACACATTTTTGTATATGATGGTTGGCACAAAATCAATTTTGACACATTAGGGTCAATTGTCAAATTCAGAAATATCAACTTTGTCAAAGAACTCAGAAACTACATATTATATAGGTAAAGCCATATTCATGTTACTGAATACAGTAAAGCTTTGTTTTAACATCAGAAATTGTATTTTGTGGTATTTTGTATGTAGGCAATGTTAGTGTATAAAAATGATAGATTTAGAGCATCTGTGATTTGTTGAAGAATTTCTGTATATCAAAGTGTAATTTAATGATACCATTGATACCTTGTATGTTGTCAAGTTAAATCTACTCTGGAGTTTCTACAGATGATAAAATATGTTAATATTAATTTTTTATGCCTTTTATGAATAACTCTTGAATTTATGCCCAAATAAGAACGAACATTATATTATAAAACAGGTCTTTGTTGTTGCGATCTCTTACATGTGTTATTTTGTACTTGCAGTTGACTGTCATGATTAAGGCTAATGATGAGTGTGCAGAGGATCGCTACATGCTCTACTTGGCCCAGACTGACCTACTTCCCGATGCCTTTGAGGATGGGAGTGAATCATTTGGGCCTGATGACAGTGTTCAACTCGTTGTGGTGCAGGCCAACAAACATGTAGAGATATATATGAGATACATTGATACCACTATAATAGTGCGACAAGTAGGACGCTATTTCACATTTGCAATAAAAATGCCTGAAGAAATCGTACAATTGACACGTGAATCTCCAGACCCCCTTCAGTTATGTGCGAGAGGGTGCCCCAAGGGGGAGCAAATCAACTATGGGGAGTTTCTAGCACAAAAACATAGCCATATAAAATCTCTGATTGATAAGAATGTACATGTCATGTCTCGTGAGAATGCCGTGAAAAAATGTAGTGAAAGCCGCGTCGTGGATTTTTACTTTGATTCCTGTGTGTTTGACTTAATGACCACGGGGGATACAAACTTTACTAGGGCTGCAAACCTAGCACTTCAGGATGTGTTGCGCCTCCAACCCTCGGCAGCACAGTCGCACCATAACAGGACATCACTTCATAACTATGACGTTCAGTATCGACTACACACTAGTGGTGCGTATAGCGTGCGTACATCTCCATCTAACTTATACCACAGGACAACATTCTTATTATTAGTCATTCTGACCTATTACATACTGGCACACCGGTAGCATCTAGCATGCTTGTATAGTGTACAGATTATAATATATTTCACATCTGATAGTTTGCTATGTATCACCTCAAAATATACCTAAAATGGGTGTATGTTTTACACCAATCACACCAAGCTTTTCACAAATGTGCTCATATGATATGTGTCTATTCCCTCCAGTGGTGGGCATATGGACTTTATATATGTAAAAGCATCATTAGAGGCTGTAGCCATGGTTCAGATAGAATGTGATGGGGTAATACATAGCAGCTATCACTGGGTCATGACTGCATATCAAGTACACCACAGCTCTTCACAACATTTCAACCAAATTATTCTTTGTTTCACAAGTGAGCAACTGAAGTAGTGTCTATTCCAAAGTGTCCTGACTTGTATATCCCTAAGCAAGGTTCCTTGTAATTCAAGATATCACCCTTCCTTTTGAAGCCTTCTTACTTCACTTCACACTAAGCCTCAAGTTTACAGTAGATCCCAAGTTGTTATTTTATGCATTTCATCTCACAATGACTTGGCTACTGGTGAAATGTACCTCATCTTTGTTCTATTGTCCCGAAAATCTTGTACAATCACTGAGTATAGCAGAAACCACAAATAGCCAGTTTCCTTTGTTTGTGGGGCTGAAATGTAAAATTGTGACTGTGTCTGAACGGTTTACTGATGTGTAGTCATGGTGCTAATTGTAAGATAAATTTGTAAAGATACATATATTTATGAATTCAACAACATACTTCAGGGAAATACTTTAGGTGGGGTTCCTTCAAATTACAAAGAAAGATGGTCACATGACATGATTGGCCGACAAAACAGTAAGAAATGGTCATGTGACCCGTTGACTTTGTGGAATGAATGAATTGTTCCTAGAAACTCTTACCTCAATGTGGAGGATAGAAAATCATTGCTATGGTTACAAGAATTTTGCCAGATTAAAACACAGAAGTACAATACAACAAACTCCCTAGTATTGGTATCATTACCAATGTGGTCACACTTATTTTTCTAGTCCTCTAGAAACACCAATAGACATGGCCTTGGTCTGCCATCTGGGGCTTCATTGTACCAAGAGACAGCGAGGAGCTTTAAACAATTTACTGCTGTGGTTTCAATTAACATTCTTATGAGTTCAATGGCAATAACGAAAAAGTGCAAGGTACAACTAAAATTGGCAGGATTCTTGTAACAATAGTGTTACTCATAAATGTTCAGTTGGAACTGTGTCATGTTCATACAGTGTACATATATACAACATTGGTTTCAATTTGAGACATTTTTCAAAGACCCATTGAGCTTTGAATCAACGTGTGCATTATGGCCTTTCATTTAACATGTTCAAGAATGAAAGACAAATATTGAGTTTATCAGCTTCACATTGTCACTACACAGGGTCGATCAGGTCTTTATATTCATCATTCTCAGTGTCTTCTGATTCATTGTTTTCAGTGTCTTCTGATTCATTGTTTTCAGTAACAATGAAGAAGAAAAAGCCTTATTAGGGTTACTGTTTTGATAAAAGTATATTTTTAAGAAAATATCTAAAAATGTTTCTCCACTTCTGTTTTCCTGACCCGAAGAGTGCAATATATTGGTGGTTGACTTATGTGAAGCTGTGCATTCCAAGTTGGCATTCAACTTATCAGTAATAATTCTATGTTCATGCACACTTTTAGTGGGAAACATGATAATATACAGTGTACATGTTGGTTTGCACATGCTGGGAGGGTACTCATGCATTTTAGTACAGGTGTCGTGTAGGCTGTTTTCCACATTGTTATCAAGCTAGGTAAGCTTGAAAAACATGCCAGTGTGACAATTTAAGGTATAGAACTCTTTATCCTAGGAAAATACATTGATCATTTTAGTACAGGTGGTATGTTGACTGTTTTTATTACAAATTTCTATAAAGCATCTGACATGTGAAATAGTAAGAATATGACATATGGAACGCAAGTACATGTAAATGTTATTTCAGCCACGATTCAATTCACAAATTGTTTGTGAGATCAACAATGGGTCTATATATTGATTATGTATGCAATCTTTGTCTCCAGTTTACAAATTTTGGTTTAAGTTGCAATAATATCAGACATTCTGGTTTAACATGATCAAATGAGGTTCTGTTACAAACATTATAGTGTTGTGTGCCTTTGCTCTGCAATTTATGGTCAAGTTAGGTTGATACAACATTGCAATGAGAAAATAACTTACTTTATCAGCGTAATATTTAATCACACAACTCAGTATGATTTCAATGGTTCCCTCTTTCAGGATGATGTACCATTCACCTCAAATTTGCATATTGTGAAAGGATGATGTACCATTATTCACCTCAACCTCACATAGTGTGTCAGGATGATGTACCATTATTCACCTCAACCTCACATAGTGTGTCAGGATGATGTACCATTATTCACCTCAACCTCACATAGTTTGTCAGGATGATGTACCATTATTCACCTCAACCTCACATAGTGTGTAAGGATGGTGTACCATTATTCACCTCAACCTCACACAGGATGTAAGGATGGTGTACCATTATTCACCTCAACCTCACATAGTGTGTAAGGATGGTGTACCATTATTCACCTCAACCTCACACAGGATGTAAGGATGGTGTACCATTATTCACCTCAACCTCACACAGGATGTAAGGATGGTGTACTATGTTCACCTCAGCCTTACATAGTGTGTCAGGTACCATTATTCACCTCAACCTCACATAATGTGTCAGGGTGATGTATCATTATCTTCACCTCAACCTCACATAATACGTAAGAATAATATACCATTATTCACATCAACCTCACATAAAAATGTTATAAGTAGTTTCTTGATTCATTGTCAACCCATTATGTACATGGTACACTCAATGCCAACAATCCTGATACATCAGCTCTTAGGTTAAAGAGGTATACAGAATACTGAATTATTGACAGTAAAGAATTTTTAACTGGAAATAAAATGAATATTTTTGTTACAAAATAAAAACTGTATTTTTTGTGTCTTCTTTGAAAGAATTTTTACTTAAAAGGTACATTTAAGTGACAAGGGTCGTGATTTTTAGTACCAGAAATTTTTAAATCACAAATCTTAGGCCAGGGACAAAGAAACTACATGCCTTTTTATTCTGATTCTAAAATACATTGAAGTTGAAATAAATACTGAATAACCTGTGACTTTCACCATCAATAGACACTGTTACATTTTCTGTAAAAAATGTATTATATTTTAGAAACTATAATAGATCCTTGCATCCTTTGTGATTTGTACATATGACACTTCACACTTATAACATGAGCAATCTGTTCAAGCTTTGGCAAGGGAAGAAGCTTTGATTTATTTTTAAGTTTCAAAACTTTTGATTATCGGTTTTCCTATTTTCAAATTCAATAAACTCATCTGTTTTATCCTTGAATTTATCCATAGTAGGGACATATGAAGGTTGGTGGAAGGGAGGGGGCAGTTCAATAATGTAAAACAGATGGGAAACTCATGTTTCTTTTGTTTATATAAGCATAAAAATAAAATAAAATGTGCCGGAAAGTCTATATTATTCAGTGGAACTGTTCTGACCGAAGACTCCAAAGATGCCAGAAACATGTGTTTTTGGAAGAACTGAGGCAGAATGAGATATTTTATTGAAAAGTTCTGCTAGTCTTGAGTATAGTTGCAAGTACGAAGTGGCACCCCCTCCAGGTACAACTAGCTCAGTCTAGAAGTGGCATGTCAGAGTCTCATGCCCCCCACTGTTCTCTGACACTTCTTAACAAACCAACATCTAACCCTAATATTCACATGGCCTGGCTCCACTTAGATTCATGCTGAAGTTGAATATTCACTTTTGAACATTTTTAGCTTCATGTATTTCTTAGAATATCACAATGGGCATATATTGATCTCATATTTTGTCAGAAAGATTTTATTGAAGTGTCTGATTTAGAGTTAAAATTCACAACTTAACTTTACCCCTACTATGACTAGTAATACTCCAGTTTACATTTAAAAAGTGGCTGCCATGATGCTAGATTTGCAGGGGGTCTGCCTATATTCAGGGCTGCTTGTCTTGCTTGTGTTTATATAGTATCAGCTATACACACCTAATACACACCATATGTTGTGCACAGTAATGTGGAAATTGCTCTAAAGAAATCCTGTTGGTGAACCAGGATCTTTAGTTTGCATAGTATCTATCAACTTATAATTGTTTGTATTAAGCATTTTCACTAATTAATTGCTTGATGAATGTCTGCTTTCGTTGTTTGTTGTTTAGTCAACATAATACATTCCATTGTCTCCATACTGCCCAGTGACAATGTACCATGCCTGCATTCTCTAGTGCCCAGTGACAATGTAACAAGCTTGCATACTCAAGTGCCCATTGACCATGTTGACAATGTAACAAGCCTGCATAGTCTAGTGCCCAGTGACAATGTACAAAGCTTGCATTCTCTAGTGCCCAGTGACAATGTACCAAGCTTGCATATCTAGTGCCCAGTGACAATGTACCATGCCTGCATTCTCTAGTGCCCATTGACAATGTACCATGCCTGCATACTCTGAGCCCAGTGACAATGTACCATGCCTGCATTCTCTAGTGCCCAGTGACAATGTACCATGCCTGCATACTCTAGTGCCCAGTGACAATGTACCATGCCTGCATACTCTAGTGCCCAGTGACAAGGTACCAAACCTGCATACCCTAGTGCCCAGTGATGTAACAAGCCTGCATACTCTAGTGCCCAGTGACAATGTACCAAGCTTGCATACTCTAGTGCCCAGTGACAATGTAACAAGCTTGCATACTCTAGTGCCCTGTGATGTACCAAGCTTGCATACTCTAGTGCCCAGTGACAATGTAACAAGCTTGCATACTCTAGTGCCCAGTGATGTACCAAGCTTGCATACTCTAGTGCCAAGTGACAATGTAACAAGCTTGCATACTCTAGTGCCCAGTGATGTACCAAGGTTGCATACTCTAGTACCCAGTGACAATGTAACAAGCTTGCATACTCTAGTGCCCAGTGACAATGTAACAAGCCTGCATACTCTAGTGCCCAGTGCCAATGTAACAAGCCTGCATACTCTAGTGCCCAGTGACAATGTACCAAGCTTGCATACTCTAGTGCCCAGTGACAATGTAACAAGCCTGCATAGTATAGTGCCCAGTGACAATGTACCAAGCTTGCATTCTCTAGAGCCCAGTGACAATGTAACAAGCCTGCATACTCTAGTGCCCAGTGACAATGTACCATGCCTGCATACTCAAGTGCCCATTGACAATGTAACAAGCCTGCATACTCTAGTGCCCAGTGACAATGTACCATGCCTGCATACTCAAGTGCCCATTGACAATGTACCATGCCTGCATACTCAAGTGCCCATTGACAATGTAACAAGCCTGCATACTCTAGTGCCCAGTGACAATGTACCAAACCTGCATACTCTAGTGCCCGGTGACAATGTATCAAGCTTGCATACTCCAGTGCCCAGTGACAATGTACCAGGCCTGCAATCCTGCATACACAAAAACGGGAGAGGAGATACAACTGCTAGATTTAGATAGCGTTGATAGACATGAGATCAACAATATAAATCTCTCTAGAATTTGTTTAGCTTTCCCTTTTCTAAAACTAAACAGCCAGTATACACTCCAGCTTTTCCCTATATAACCAGGCTGAGCCAGGTGCTGTAGGTAGAAAATGGGGCAGAATATTAAACTGCCAATGGATGTCAGACATATTGAACTTGCAATGTATTCACAAGAACAAATTGGATGTATGAGAATTCATTGATTGTATGAATTGATTGAGACTGTTGATTGTATGATGTAACATTGATTTGGTAATTGAGTCCATTGATTGTATGATGAACCATTGCTTTGGTGTTTTGAGTTCATTGATTGTATGATGAAACAGAGATTTTGGTGATTGAGTCCATTGATTGTATGATATACCAATTATTGTATGATGAAACATTAAGTGTATGATGGATCATTGATTGTATGTTGAACCATTGATTGTGAGATGAACCGTTTCTTGCTGTATGTATGGTGAATTATTACTTTGGTTATGGGTTGTATGATTTTTTAATGAACTATTGGTTGCTTGATATTGTTGATTGTATGATGTACAGTTGCATTGCTTGTATGATGAACCATTGCGACTAGTTATTTGAGGAATCATGATTTTATGATGGGCCGTTGATTGTTAGATGAACCTTTTCTTGTTGGTTATATGATGCACCATAGGTTTATGATGCACTATAGATTTTATGTTGGAATTCGATAAACAAATGATTGTTTTTTAACTATTACTTGATTATATGAGGAAATATTGATGGAACCGATGAGGCAACAATTTATTTCTAAGGAATATACTGATATTCAGCCACAAGTGTGACCCATTTTCCTCACAGCTGAAGAAAGATCGAGTTTCAATAGCATATCAGTACTTTTTCCTCTTCGTTTTATCATACATGCTCCGTTTATTCCAATTTTCCTACTTGGCCCTAACTCTGTGTGAGTTGAAGTGTTGAGTGAAAAAATGTCCATGTTGAAGTGGAGAATTAACAAGATAGGAGAACTCTGCTGGAAACCTCTGCCACTGTACAAGAAACATCACATCTACCAGATTGTAGAGATAATCTCACTGTTCCTCTATATAACACAACCTAAAGGTAGATACATCATAAAGAGAATGAAAAATTGCAGGCAATCTATTTAACAAACTACGCAATCCCAACAATTACACCTTTATCGGATCTGAGAAAGCACCATGGTATCTATAAAACATGACATTTTCAATTTAAATTCAGAATTGTAACACAAAATATAGTATGTGTTATAACTTTCTGAATGTTTCGTATGTATGCACGATAACATCATCAACATAGGCATCGAGATAGGGATGACAACATCAGGAATCAAACGGGGTTCCTCAATTTTTGAGGAGGATGGAAACCGATTAAAGATCATCAAAATATTGATCTGCATGGTCAAAAGTAATTTTGAAAAGAAGGCTGGGTGTGGATTTCCTACATTCTGACATTATGACATGATGTAGTTAAATAAAAATTCATAGAATTTCTCCTTCCTATGTCGTATTGTGAACTTTGAATGCAATCAACTCACATTCACAAGTTGAATAGCAAGTGCTTCATTGTAGGCCTTTCAAGTACCAGGTTTTAAAATTCCAAAATTTAATTTGTGGCAGCTTTAGGCTTGAAACACACTTGAAACTGAATTCCTATATTAGATTTAACGAGTTTCCATTGAAGCCCAAAATTTTTCATATGAATGAAGTGTTTTTATTTGGATTTAAAGCAGGTATGGAACCAATGTAAGCCCTTGTTGTTGAAGAAATACAAATTCAAAGAATTATTCTTACATTTTTCAACCTATTCATTCACCTCACAATAAGCTCCATAAAATCAATGGGCTAAGTTGAAGTATTCAATCAGTTTTCGGTAAAGGTGTTTGAATAATGCCAATTTCCCCATTTCTCTCTCAGTTTGTTTTAAATCACCCGAAGGTAGAAAAATAGAGTGTTCTATTATAACCTCTGCTTCATGTCACCCGAGACCATGTTAAAACATTCAACTTTTAAATCTTATCAAAACAAAAAATAAATCCTTGGATAAACAAATCTATGTTTATCATATTGAGAGAATTCGGCAATATAAGCAAGAACAATGTTCGCAATGTTAATTTCCCATGGCAAATAAACCACGCCGTTTCTTTTGTAATTAAATAGTTTCAGTATGAGTGTGAAATATCAAGGAAAACATGAGTACTTAGCATGGTATATCTAATATCAAACTAAATTAATGAATTAACATGATATCAGTGAAAAGGCAAGGAAAGATGTGATATAATGTAAATGTTGATATGACTTTCCAAGTAACGACATTTTCAAACTGAAGATCAATGATAGCAAAAACGCATAATTTTATTTGGGCCTTCCATGGAACACAAGAAATATGGTCAATTCAAACAAAAGAACAGAAATTGGTGCTATATATTCAAATATCTAAATGATCAGTTGGCAATCGTAATCAAATATCCTTGGATGAGTTAATAATTAGTTTGAATAAAAAATGATGTGTCAATTGCTAAATGATTTATTCTCACGAGGTCATGCAATTTACAACTGTCTACTGGATGTAGAATCAACTCTCCTATTTCCTAGTAAAATGAATATTAATGCATTATTAAATATGATAAATTGAATGTATTATGTTTATTTTTTGAATAAATACGTCAGCGTGTCCTGAACATTATAAATCAATTTCCATGTTTTTCATGAAAATAAAGATTATACGTTCATTGAAATTCTTAACAATGGAAAATATTGTATTCAAGGACTATTCATAAAACACTCCGTAAAACACTAAGATTTCATGGGATACCATTAATTTTATCTTGTACCTTACACGTCAACATATTTATATATATTTGACAATTAATATTTTACAACATTTTGGGACACTCTCAAATGTTTTAAATGTTATTGAACATGTTGTCTATTTCATGGACAACCCGACCAGGAAGTGTTCAAATCCCCCTAAAGCTGTTCATAAAATTCTGACACTACCTAATATACACTTAGCGCACATTAAGAATTATTAAATCAGATTATCATCAAGGTTGTATTTTTCAATTATTGGAATCCAAAAATCCCAAAGCTGCAATTGTTGGTAGTGTTACAATAATCGCTTTAAGTTGCTTCAATAACATTGTAATGTTCAGTGTGTTGCCAAATGGTGTTGTAATGCAATGAAAATGTCAAATGTATGATTCCAAACATAATATATAAGTCAGTGAAGCCATCCTTGTTGGACTTGTAACACTTCCATTATTTCAACCCTTCTTACTTCATCCGGGCCATTAGGGGAGGGTCCTGTAGCATCATCCGAAGCACGATTGCTCCTAATTGAGCATAGCACTTTGCTAATTACCTAAATAGATATACACAACTGTTACATAAAGATTGGTAAGGCATCTAAGATTATATGCTCCCAATGGAAAATATGATACCCTCGATAAAGCTATGTTCAGAAAACTTGTGAGACAAGTCTCGGAATTATTCATCCATAAATATTTTGCAGTGAAGAGCGTATTCCAAAGATGAGGATGTAGAGCCCCCAGCAAATGAAGTCATCCAGCAGGAGATTTAAGATGACAAAGAAACGAGAACAGAGGTCATAATGATAGAGGAATTACAAAGTGTTAGCCACCTGGAACAATGTACTAGGATCGTCAAACTTAACGCCGTCAAAATGTGTTAAATAATTTTTCAACGGCGTAAATAGTCGTTTTGACGGCGTTAAAAGTACTATGCATATAATCCGATATTTTCCCGATAATTGTGTTTTTAATGCAAATTAAATTGTATTTGCGGTATATGTGTTATTCAATGTAGAGCGAGTGTATTCATTTAATATTTTCCACTTTAGAGTGTGGTAAAGGGATGTGATCTTAGCTGTATATCTAAGAGTTACTTTCACACCTCCCTTCCTCTGATTGACAGCAACAGACGCAAACCAAACATTAATCATCTGGAGATATTACACAGGGGTCCGTTTCTCATATTATTGACGGGAAACGAGTGACTTGATCGATACAATTACAAAGGCATTTATATATCGTTATAAATTTTTAAGCAAACATGAGGTACATGATTGGTCAATATTGTTCTGAATAAAGCTATCTTCAGTACTCATCATATATGTCATAATGTTTTGATATTTTGATAATATATAATATTGTCAGCAACCAATAAAATTAAATTAAATTAATTCCTCAAGTTTATAGGCATTTTTATTTTGATGAATTTTTAAAAAATGAGAAATACCAGAAAGGTATCAAAATTGTGTTATTTTTATATCTCTGTATGTTGAGAAACGTCTCCCTGAAATGAGTGTTGGGAACAGACAGCAAAACACATTGCAACAGAAATATATGCTGACCTTATCACTGCAATTATAAGAACAAAGAATAATTGTGAAACATCTTTCTCACATGTATAACATAGCACTTCCAGGTGTAGACTAAGACAGATTAAATGTAATATGTTATATAAAGTTTTACAAATATTTCATGGGGAACAAAACCTGAACAGTTCATATTACATTCTTGCTAATCATTGATATTCGACTAAACTGTTCTATAAGGATGCTAAACTGATAACACCTTGTGTAGCTCATATTTTATTTTGAGAATGATCAACTTGTTTAAAGCGACATCTTTTAATTCTCATTTAACCAAATGCGCGTCCTGTTCTTTTCTCTGAAACAAGACGGGGGCAATCTCTTTTATCGTATTGTCAATCTTTAAGCAATGATTTCTAATATGACTGAAGCCAAGAAATAAGATAAATGTAAGTATTTATTCAATTGAACTGGATTGGGATGGATAAAACTTATCAACACAAAAATTGTTTTAAGGTTTTATATTTTATTTTTCTTATCTCCGATTTTATTTCATGAACCAATGTATCTTCAGAAGATTGGCAGAAATTCTTCAATTATTTATCATAAATAAGGTTAATAAATGTTCAAATACAGTACAAAATACTCCCTCACATAACTCGAAATATTAATGTTTGACTAGGTCACATATTTACTGAGAAATATCATTAAGCAACTACAAGTTGGCAAAATAATGATTAGGCAAACATATTGCAACCAAATATTACTGGGAGCACACTGCAATACCAGAAAATTGTAAATTGTATTGCATACAACAATGCAATGAACAGAAGTAGAAACTGATTCAAGATCACAAATCATTTATTTATATACTGCCAAATAAACACAATCTTCTTTTACTTCTGCTGATCATTGCATTAAACCTTTGCCAACTATCTCTCAGATTTTATTAAACAATGAGCATAGACATTCCTTTTTAGTAGTACCTAAATGATGGTGTCCAAATGACAACACATAATTTTGTAAAGGGGATGGGGCGAATGGCACATTTACTAGGAAACATTTATTTCACACTGGCCGATCTGGGGGAGGGGGTTAAAACATTTTAGGGCCCCTTGAATTTTCATATACAGGGTGACCGGAAAAAAAGGAGACCATTGAAATAGGCAATATCTCCTAAAATAGACTAGTGTCATCAATGAAATTTTGCATACATCAGGACAGTTCTATGGAAATTTGTTCCTGAAAGTGTCAATACAAGCAGTCAACTGGTTCAGGAGCTATGATCATTTACATAACATGCTCCAAATAGGCGCAATTGAGACCAACGCAGAGCTGGATACATTTGGCAAATACCCTTACATATTCCGACCTTGTTATGGCATTACATTTAGCATTTATTGCCACCTTTAGGTCAGCAATTGTCTCAGGATTGTTTTGGTACACATTGTCTTTCAAATTGCCCCACAAAAAGAAATCAGGTGGATTCAAATTTGAGGTGTATGGAGACGAAGCTTATCTGACCTATGGCTTCTGACTCAGTGGTCCCACTCAGTTACAGTATCATCCTAAGGAGGTTTTGGGCAGCCCTTGGTTTTCATATGGGATTTAATTGTGCCATATAGTGGTTTTAGTAACATGGCACTATGCCCAATACCTAAAGTGACTCTTAAGATTTGGTAAATCAGCACTTTGGCAACAGGATGATGAACCACATGTCAGATAACCCTTCATTGCCATTACAGCCTAGACTTGAATCCTGCTGATTTCTTTTTGTATGGATATTTGAAAGACAATCTATACCAAAACAATCCTCAGACTATTGTTGACCTAAAGAAGGCAATCACTGCTATATGTAATGCCATAATAATGCCATAGAGGGCAGAACATGTAAGGGTAGTTTGCCATATGAATCCAACTCTGCGTTGGTCTCAATTGTGCCTATTTGGAGCATGTTATGTAAATGATCATAGCTCCTGAACCAGTTGAATGCTTGTATTGAAACCTTCAGTAACAAATTTCCATATAACTGTTCCAGTGTATGCAAAATTTCATTGATGGCACTTGTCTAGTTTAGGAGAAATTGATTACTTCAATGGTCTCCTTTTTTTCCGGTCACCCTGTATTTTTTGAACAACTGCTGATATTTGGACAACATACTGTACCTTTACAAACAATTGGAAATAACAAGAATGATAAATAAAATAAAACAATGAACCAATGGCATATTGTTGGCATGTACATTTAAATGTATGGATAAAATTAACTCCAACAAAGTTTTTTAAACTTATAGAATTTAACGCTATCCATTACATAATAAGTTCAACTTATCGGCCTACTACATCTAAGTCTCCACTTTAAACTTTAGTTCAATAATTAAATCTTATTTTTCTTTGCAATCTGCCCAATATTTACATACATGTACAGGTATTGTACATTAACATATACAGTCCTTGTATTAAACAACTATACACAAGTTTACAGTCATGTACAAAATATATTACAATGTAGACATATATACATCAAAGTGAATGAAAAAATAAAGTCATGCAATGTATTTGTCTATGTCATTATTATCTGTATATTGATTGTAGTTCCTTTTGATTTCAGGAAAGGAGTGTTGCATTGTCAGACATTTGTCTAACCAGGACAAATCTGTCATTTAATAAATGAATGGTTTCTACTATATACCCATGTAAAGGCAGTCAGTAAACTTTGTAATGGAGTCGCTGACATTGCCTAGGATGACACTGTTGCTGAAGATCTATTCACTAAACCAGGAAGAGACTCTTGTCAGTGATCTACTGAGGGTGCATGTGACTGAGCTTGAAGTCGAGGATCACGGGGAATTTCCTGTAAGCGAGGTTCTTTATATGGACGTTTTTCCCTACTGGGACTGTCTGTTCGTCGTTTACGCTCACTGTGATATTGAGTACTATATCTGGAATAATCAAATTTAGAAAATAATAATTTCAAAATTACACGGTAACAGTTGCAACTAAGTTATCGGAATTTGTAAGAATTTTTTACAGATGCCGACCTCTGAATACCAGACACCAGCCACCGAACATCGTCCACAAAAATGAGACTGTAACAATATGTCACTGGCAAAATAATTGCCTGACAACCAATCAGATTACAGTTAAGTTCATATAATGTTGAAAGTGCTCTATTGTTTAAAAGTCTTTCTTACCTATCATCTTCAGGCTGTCTTGCAGGATGGGAAGCTGCTGGGAAGTCAGTTCTATGTGTTCCATAGTGGTCTCTATTCCACACATCCCGATCCCTGGAATCTCTTGGATCTCTACTTACATTTGGATTGGATCTATGATCTCTGTTGTTATAATCTCCACGGTGATCTGGTCGATGTGACCTATCACGACTAAAGTCTTTGTGATCACCACGGGAACTGTGGTCACCCGCTAAATCCGGTTTATGGTACCCGTAACCCCCTCTATCTCTATTATAGGAACTAAAGCTGCCTTTTTGGTCATGGTTAAACCTGAAAAGAATTAACTTGAACTCAGTTGTTGCTTGTATTAATGTTAAATTCCTAAAATGATAGATAGAACATTGATGTTTTTTGCCTATTTCTATCATTTTTTATTTCTCTATACATCCATTTTAATTTTTCCCATCACTTGAGAACAACCAACTGCCAAACTTATAGATCGATTTATATAATATTAATTCTATGATGTAAATACTCTTGAAAATGCTGGGAGTTTACCTGTTACCATCTTGTGGATATTTTCTATGTACATCTGTGTTTGGGGGCCTGTTGTAGGCATCATATGGCCGGTTCCTCTGCTCCTCAGGCCTGGCCAGGGGACTGCTGAGATTCCAGCGATCTGTAGCAGACTCTTTCACCCCAGGAGGACGGTTGTAGGAGTTGTAGGCATTATTGTTGAAGTGACGTGGCCCATTGGGAGCACTGAAATGATGACATCATTAATGAAAGATAATAGGTATTATTGATGAAGTGACATGGCCCATTGGGAGCACTGAAATAATGACATAATTTAGGTGTTTTATTGTAATAGTTGGTCCAAGTAGTTAACATACCTGTCCCCTCTGTTCCTACTGTCTGAAGTGGAAGGTTTAGACTTGTGTGCTTTCTCCCCACTATGCTTGTGATCATGCTTCTTCTTCACAGGGGAACCCTTGGAATCATTGCTAGTTTTCTGCTTGTGTTCATGTTTATGTTCATGCTGAAACAATACAAAAAGTAGTGAGGTTAATACCTGCTTTCACTGGAGTTTGATACCTGCTTTCACTGGAGTTTGATACCTGCATTCACTGGAGTTTGATACCTGCTTTCACTGGAGTTTGATACCTGCTTTCACTGGAGTTTGATACCTACTCTCACTGGAGTTTGATACCTGCTTTCACTGGAGTTTGATACCTGCTTTCACTGGAGTTTGATACCTGCTTTCACTGGAGTTTGATACCTGCTTTCACTGGAGTTTGATACCTGCTCTCACTAGAGTTAATTTCTGCTCTCCCTAGAGATCAATACCTGCTCTCACTAAACTGATTTCACTGGAGGTAAAAACCAGTTATCAATGGAGTTTGATACCTGCTCTCATTAAAAGTGATTAGCTGCTATCACTGTAGGTAAGCTGTCAAGTAAGTTTATTTATCCAGATGAAAGGATGAGCTAGGATTTAGTTTTAATTTATAGTGGAATTAACATTATTCTATTTTTGTAACAAATGATCATTTTCTCTTTATCTCCACACAACTAAAACTCAAAACTAAGACATATACATCTAATATAACTTGAACCCAAAATTAAGACATCTACACATAACTGAAACACACAACATGATGACTATATCCCACTGGTGCTGTGATAAAAAGTAAAACATCTACATACAACTTTTATAAATATATCCAATAAATCCATGCCAACAGGTCAGGGAACTACATGATAACAAATGCTGTTCTAAACTTGTACTCTAGCAACAAAAATATCTACAAACAAGTGATTGATGAGTACATGCAGACAGGCAGATAGAGACAGACTGAAATGTAGGTTTCACCCACCACCTTGCGGTCTCTTGGCCTCTCCCTGTCACTGCTGGTGTCTCTAGTTGACATGCCTTCATATGCTAGTGTATGCAGTCCCTATAGCCACAGACAATACACACCAATGTTAGTATTAGAGGAGACCTTCAACTTCACACAATCAACCAACTTTGATTTCTCATTCAGAATAGATTATAAAGCACAAGTTTGGGATGTAGACCATGGTGCTGAGAAACTAGATGATATTATCACTTAGAAGATGTCAACACAAATCTTTAACTTACCGAATGTTTTTCACGTTCACTATCACGTTTTTTTACTGCATGTTTGTAGAGTTTGTGGAGCTTTCTGGCATCATGCTCTGTGAACTTAGAGACAAACACCCACAGAAAACTGAAATAATACAATCACTTTTTCTTGCTGGTAAATTAGCAATAGCACTATACAACATGAGTTAGTTGCAAATCTCGACAAACTATGTGGCTAATGGCTTTGAATTGAATTTGAGTTACCGCCGAGACAAACACAAAGAAAATCTTCTTTTTCATATGACTATTTCATTAATTACATTGTATGCTTGTTTGTTTTTCATTGTTATACAATATATTAATACATAAAATCTTGATTTTTGTAAGCATATATCACAGTTATGGATTCAATTACCTTCTCCACTCCTTGATCTTCTCTGGATCTTTAGCTTTAGTGAGACATTCATTGATTCTATCTCCTATCTTGAGAAGACATTTCCTAGTGTGGTCCAGTTGGTCCCTTTCAGAGAGGCCAGCCTCAGGGTTGTCAAGCTGCTTCAGGGCCTTCTTCACTGGACGCATCTGCTCTTTGCACTGGAGACGGAGAGAACAGAATCAGGTGGGGCAAATGATATACGTAATATTGCAGTGAAATGGAAGTTGCCCATATATCTTAGAATTTGTTATAAATCCAAATTTCATATTGTTTCTACACAGACTACACATTGCCTCAGAGCCTTCTTACTAGACGCATCTGCTCTTTGCATGTAAAAGGGCAAATCACATACGTAATATTGCATTGAAATGGGAGTTGCCCATGTATCTAAGGCGACATGTATAATCAATAAAATACAAATCTTAGCAGACACAACAAACAAGAGATAATAATTTCATGTTTTACCTTTTTAAATACTGCAGGGTCAAGGTCAGTGCTCAGGTCGCCATCAAGACCTATGGCAGTAGGTTCAGTAATGGCAGTGAAATGCATGGGACCATCCTTTCCTCCCTTCTGAAACACAATAAGGGAAAAATATATATACATGCGTCGTCTTTATTGCACATATGGAGCAAAGATAGCTAAATGTCTACATTGAATCTGTAGTAAAGAACCAATGTTCAGTGATAAAAGTATCCTTGTATATTGTGGTACACTAAGTCATACATGTACAAGTACATTGTAAATTGCCAGTGAATTGCAGAGAAACCAAAACACAAGCTCCATCTTACCTTTTTCTCTTCCTTTCTCTCTTTCTTTTCCTTCTTTTCTTTGGCTTTCTTTGCTTTCTTGAACTCATGTGGATCCATGGAGTTCTCATCATGAATCTCACCATCACTGAGATCAGGCTCATCTTCTATAATCTCTTTAGACTTGAACACTTGCTTCTTCTCTTTCTTCTCTCTCTTCTTTCTGGGGGCCTTAGACACCAAGTCCTTTAATAGCAACAATAGCAACTATTCATCCAACTTTAATTACTCTTCCACGATAATTGTGCAAATTCTTGATTACCGAAACAACAACTATTCATTTATCTTTGAAGACTTTTATCTTTTTTCTATCACTTGAACCATAATTGCGCTCATATTAACCTATTCTTGATTTTTTACACTACAAAAATACACTAAAAAGAGCATTGCTATCCAATCTGAAATATCTGACCACTAATGTGTTTCATGAATGCACTGTTTTGTAACTGACCTTCCCAGTCTTGGCATTGTACTGTTTGAGCAATATCCTGAGCAAGTAGTCTGTGCGGGTCTGGAGGTGTTTGGTCTGAGGCTTCAAGTCTCCATCTGGCAAAATCTACAATATAAACACACCATCTCAGTCTTTAGTATACATTAAGGTTGGTAGCTTATGGTTTAGATCTAGCTTTAGGTTATATTTTGTTAACATAATCATATTGCTTTATTATTGCAGATTGTACATGATATTGGTCATCATCAATACCTCCCTATCTCTTCCCTTGGTAAAAGCTAAGAGAGGATGACTCTGGACAGAATAATCAATAGTGAAAGCACAATAATTACAAGCCAAGATTGAAACTTCAATAAGGAGGAAAGTGAGATATGCTGCCAAGTAGATATTTGAATTACCTTATCATGTAGATTGAGAAGTGGATCCATCTTGATAGCCTCCCAGCTGCCCATGCCATACTCATATATACCTATGAGCAGGTTGGAGTCATCGGCTTCATCCCATTCACAATCCCAATTCGAAGACTTGGTAGTATGGTTGAGTCTGTATGTGGCCCTCTCCTGCTTGTCCTCTGGGAGCATCCTAGCCAGAGGCAGCATTTCTTCCTCATTGTGCAGAATAGACTTGGCATTTACATTGACACTGCCCAGTTTGCATGATGGACCCCTGTGATTCTTTTTAGCACCTGCAACCAGAAACCACTTATTTGGTTATCAAAGGAAAATCAAGGAAAAAGTAATGTACATTACTCTGATATATCCCCTTATTATTGAGGACAAATCCTCACAGTGTTATATAGTGAGGTAATGCTGAACATATGGAACTTTCCTTACTTTCTAAGTTTGAATCTTCCTCCAGTTTTTGTTTATATTCGGCCATGCATTGTTCACAACGGTTGTGTAGTTCCTCAGCAAGTCTGGAGAGATCTGCCTCTGACTTCTCTTGGAGTTCAGCATCTCCTGCTATAGCATCTAACCTACAATAATATCACATCGATCTTTGAATAACTCAATACACATACAGTAAATATATATTATATTCTGTTGAATGATAAGGCTTAAACTTTAAAAGGCACAATATAAAGTCTAAATCATTTTGGCTCTAACTATAGTCTTACCTAGTGTTATCAAAATGTGATTGTGAAACTTTTCAATTTAACTTCAAAAAGTTTATTCTGAAGGGTCTTTTTGCTTGAAAAATTGTGATTTTAATTTAAATAAGATTTAAGTTGTCACACATACAAATATTGTAAAGCAATAGGCAAGAAATTAATTGATAAGTCCAGTAGTTCAAAGAAGAAAGTGTTTTACAATTCAGCTCATTGAATCCAATGGTACATAAATATTCAAAACATTTACAAAAACTTATTTTCACTTTTTCTAAAGTCACATTTTTAAAAAAACGTCTCAAACAGTTAATCAAGCCAACAAAAGTTACATTTGAATTATTAAACTATATTGTCAAGCCTTTAATTTAAATAAATGAAGGGTTTTGACCACGTCCCACTGGATTTCTTTAACCTAAATGGCAGATTTTGGTTTTTCTAGAATTTTTTTTCAAAACTAGTCCAAATAGTCTAAAATGTCGCCTGCAACAATTACCTTTTCTTGGGATCTCCAAATTTCTTATAACTTTTAATAAACCGCCTGATCTCAATATTTGTGAAGCCTTTAATCTTATCTTTGGCCCCACCTCGACCAGGGCGCCCTCTTTTCTTTGGTTTATCATCATCAGAATCATCACTAGATTCAGAGTAATCATCTTCATCATGAGTCTTTTTCTTCCGAGAATTTTTGCCTTCATCAGAGTCGTAATTCAACTAGAAATATTTTATAAAAATGCATTAATTTTGCCTTGACATTATTCATATAATCTTTTCAAAATGTAGCGATGTCAATTTCAAACTCTGGCAAAGTTGCTGCACTTACAGGGATGTATACAAACTTAAATCTAACAATGGTTTGCTATCATACTTATTACATCTATTAATGATTTCTTATTTGGAAAACCTATACACATATCTTACATTAGTAGCCTATAACAAGGACCAATACTCACATCTAACAATGGTTTCCTATTACGAGGACCCAACTCGAGATCAAGCAGCTGTTTCTGCCTCTCTTCTTCATCAATCTTCCTCCTCTCCTCCTCAGGTATAATATCGTCCCAATCCCTATCTGTAACACAACAAATACATCAACAGCTTGTTCACAACAATGACCCTGCAATAGTCTATTTATGTAGAGCTTTGCTTCACTGATTATTCCTTTTGGAAGATATAAGACAAGAATTTAACAATCATTACCCATTGTGTTGTCATTGGTCTCTGGAGTAGGAGTAGGGGCATCATCCACACTGTTCTCATCAATAGCATCAAAACTTACAACCTAAAAGGCACCAATGTAAAATATAGAAAAGTATACAGGGTTAAGAATAGCGCAATTTTGGCTATTCTGGTACATCACACTTTCACAGGGTGTATGGAATACAGGCAATAGAGCATATGCATAGATGAGGCAATAAAAATACATAACATATCACAAAGTATCCTTAGAGAATTTAAACACCAGCCAGCCACCTTGGATTACCAAGTGTTTTCATTAGGGGTGGTACGATGACCCGATGAGTCGATACCCCGCGGGTTGAGGCCTTCGGGTCCCGAATCGACTCCTCTAGTTGAGGAGTCGACTCGTTCGGGTTGAAATGATGATAACTTCCGGTTTATAATTCCAGGCAATTTTTGGTATCTAAACTGTAGATTTCAAGGCTTTTTTTCATGATCTAGCCCATCTATGTGTTTATATTAGATATTAGAAATGTCCAGAGTATTATTAATGTAACAAGGCATTGACATGACAAAATGTCACCACCTAGTTGCTCACAATATTATGAGTTCAAACTTAAGTCAGATTTGAGAACTTGTAAAGTCAAATTTGAACTTCTGAAAAGATGTAGATGATTTTGAAAAAAAATTTGGTCAATTTGAAGCAAGTTGAAAACAGACCTTTTTGACCTTTTTTGACCTTGAGAAGGTCATTAAAGGTCAAATGTCAAATCTAAAGTCAGATTTGAATTTCTGAGAACATGTAGATGATTTTGAAAAAAAAAATTTGTCAATTTGAAGCAGGTTGAAAAAAGACCTTTTTGACCTTTTTTGACCTTGAGAAGGTCATTGAAGGTCAAATGTCAAATCTAAAGTCAAATCTAAAGTCATATTTGAATTTCTGAGAACATGTAGATGATTTTGAAAAAAGATTTAGTCAATTTGAAGCAAGATGAAAAAATACCTTTTTGACCTTTTTTGACATTGAGAAGGTCATTGAAGGTCAAATGTCAAATCTAAAGTCAGATTTGAATTTCTGAGAACATGTAGATGATTTTGAAAAAAAAATTTAGTCAATTTGAAGCAGGTTGAAAAAAGACCTTTTTGACCTTTTTTGACTTTGAGAAGGTCATTGAAGGTCAAATGTCAAATCTTAAGTCAAATCTAGTCAGATTTGAATTTCTGAGAACACGTAGATGATTTTGAAAATTTTTTTTAGTCAATTTGAAGCAAGTTGAAAACAGACCTTTTTGACCTTGAGAAGGTCATTAAAGGTCAAATGTCAAATCTAAAGTCAGATTTGAATTTCTGAGAACATGTAGATGATTTTGAAAAAAACAAATTAGTCAATTTGAAGCAAGTTGAAAAAAGACCTTTTTGACCTTTTTTGACCTTGAGAAGGTCATTGAAGGTCAAATGTCAAATCTAAAGTCATATTTGAATTTCTGAGAACATGTAGATGATTTTGAAAAAAATTTAGTCAATTTGAAGCAAGATGAAAAAATACCTTTTTGACCTTTTTTGACATTGAGAAGGTCATTGAAGGTCAAATGTCAAATCTAAAGTCAGATTTGAATTTCTGAGAACATGTAGATTATTTTGAAAAAAAAATTTAGTCAATTTGAAGCAAGTTGAAAAAAGACCTTTTTGACCTTTTTTGACTTTGAGAAGGTCATTGAAGGTCAAATGTCAAATCTTAAGTCAAATCTAAAGTCAGATTTGAATTTCTGAGAACACTAGATGATTTTGAAATTTTTTTTAGTCAATTTGAAGCAAGTTGAAAACAGACCTTTTTGACCTTTTTTGACCTTGAGAAGGTCATTGAAGGTCAAATGTCAAATCTGAAGTCAAATCTTAAGTCAGATTTGAATTTCTGAGAACAAGTAGATGATTTTGAAAATTTTTTTTAGTCAATTTGAAGCAAGTTGAAAACAGACCTTTTTTGACCTTGAGAAGGTCATTGAAGGTCAAATGTCAAATCTAAAGTCAGATTTGAATTTCTGAGAACATGTAGATGATTTTAAAAAAAAAATTTAGTCAATTTGAAGCAAGTTGAAAAAAGACCTTTTTGACCTTTTTTGACTTTGAGAAGGTCATTGAAGGTCAAATGTCAAATCTTAAGTCAAATCTAAAGTCAGATTTGAATTTCTGAGAACACATAGATGATTTTGAAAATTTTTTTTAGTCAATTTGAAGCAAGTTGAAAACAGACCTTTTTGACCTTTTTTGACCTTGAGAAGGTCATTGAAGGTCAAATGTCAAATCTTAAGTCAAATCTTTAAGTCAGATTTGAATTTCTGAGAACACGTAGATGATTTTGAAAAAAAATTTAGTCAATTTGAAGCAAGTTGAAAACAGACCTTTTTGACCTTGAGAAGGTCATTGAAGGTCAAATGTCAAATCTTAAGTCAGATTTGAAGGTCAAATGTCAAATCTAAAGTCAGATTTGAATTTCTGAGAACATGTAGATGATTTTGAAAAAAAATTTAGTCAATGTGAAGCAAGTTGAAAAAAGACCTTTTTGACCTTGAGAAGGTCATTGAAGGTCAAATGTCAAATCTAAAGTCAGATTTGAACTATAAAATGACGTTCGTTATTTTGTCTTTATTATTAATGTATGTTGTCATTCCCTGTGAGAAATTTTCTATGCTCTATGAGTAAACAATTGTTTATTATCCCCCCGAATACAAATATATGACAGGTAAAACGATAATAATGGGAACAAACTCCGACTTTTTTGTTCTGTTACGAAAGTTCTACACGTTCGTTAAATGTCTAATATACGAACGACCACAGGCTTTTGTGTTCAGTATTTGTTTTTAGATCTTAAATAAAAGTTGTTGAAATTTGTGCTTTTTATCAGATGATATCCGAATTCTTTTCAACTCAAATACTTTAGAGTGTTTCTAGTATGAAAACTATGAGATAAATCACTGATTTATTGATAATCGTAAGTGTTGGGTGTGTTGTTGCAAACGCGCCGGTCGTTCGTAGATATATGCCTGTTCAGCAAAAAGAACATGCCTAAATCGCTTCTCCTAAAAAATCCTCCAGCCTCTCTCAAGGCATCAATTTGGCTGCATTTCGGCTTCCATCCCAGCAAAAAGGACCATGTCGTTTGCCGGATGTGTCATCAGGAATACGGCTATAAGCATGGTATGGTATGAGTCGGAACTCGAATCGGATTTTTCTGGCCCGACCCGACCCGGACCTGAATCGTGCCATTTTGACCCGTCCCACCCCTAGTTTTCATAGATAGAAAATCAAACTTCACAAATATGAATAGACACTAACCTTGAATTGTGAGAGCAGGTCATTGTTAGCACCTTTAGATTCATCCTCCACCTCTCTGGTCTCAGCCCTCTGTAGGATCTCATCAATGTCAACCTGTGGCTCCTCATCATTCTCACTGGCATCCTTGAACAGGTTCTCAGCACCAAACTTGAGGATCTGCGCCAGCTCATCCTTGTTGAATGGTGTGGAGGAGCTCCTGAAAATACAATAGCTTAGTTTTAAAGATCATGTAAATATCACTACTCTTTCTAATGCACATGTGTGTATGTGACAGCTCGGCCTTGTCTATATAATTCAATGTGACCAGTTGAAAACATCATTGTTATGTAATGGTAAATGTGTTTGCTGACTTACGGAACACTGCCTCTGTTGAGTACAGTTCTCCCTGTGGTGTCCATACGCTGTATGACCAAATGGTCCAGGACCATCTTCCTCTTAGCACGTTCTATGATGTCCTCCTCCACAGTGTCTTTATGCACCAGCCTATACACACTCACCTAAATAATGGTAAAAAGATATAAATTGGAGCAGCTCCAAGGAATTGCAAATCCCACCAAATGAGACATTTTTATCAAATCACTCATCAATTTAATCATAACATGAGAGAACAAGGCATTAACATGCAAAATATCACCTCATGCAAATTGTTACAGATCCTGAATGATGACTGCTGAATGCCATCTGCCGAACAATGTCCACAAAAAATTGGAGACGAACAATATGGCAAAATCATTTGTGTTGTTTAGACAGATCAACATTTGTATAGGTTTGACTGTTGAATGGACAGCTTCTCTATATTCTCCAGAACTTTGCTCAGTGGGACTATTATATTCCCAGAATCATTTGAATATTTGTTTTGTACGGTTGCATTCATATTTATTTGTACTCATATATTGTATGTAATATAAGTAAATGATGAAAAAAATAAAGAAAATAACAAAAAAATAACCCCAGAATTATGCTTATGAATAATACCTGGTTTTTCTGTCCTATCCTGTGAGCCCTGGCCTGAGCCTGCAGGTCATTCTGTGGGTTCCAATCGCTGTCAAATATGATAACTGTGTCAGCTGTGGCCAGGTTGATCCCCAGACCCCCTGCCCTGGTGGACAACAGGAAGCAGAAATCATTGGAGTCTTCAGCATTGAAATGATCTAGAGCTTGTTTACGAAGCTCACCCCTAATGGAACCATCCAATCTCTAGAACAATACAAGGCAATCAGGTCTAATATATGCAAGTACAAAAGGGTAAACATTTTAGTTAACATATGACTAAGAATGCATTCTTATAGCTCCTAGCATTCTAAAATTGACCTCGTAGCTCAAATTCACAGTTTAAAAATGAAATATTATTTCAATCCACATTCTCTCTAAATAATAAACTGGCTGAACGTGACAGCTAGAGAGCTGCAGTTTACAATGCATTACCTGGAAGTTCCATCTTCTGCTCTTCAGGTAGTCTGCTAGAATATCCAGCATCCGTACCATCTGTGAGAATATTAGCACCCTGTGTCCCGTCGCCTTGAGTCTAGCCAGCAGTTTGTCTAGGAGTAACAGCTTACCACTACCCTTTACAACCCCCTGAAACCAATAACAAATAATGTAAAACATATTTCTTTCAATTTAAAACATAAAATTGAGGATTACAATAAAATGAGTCGCTTGTTTGCAGCAAGTACTCACATGTATTCTCTCATCATTGTCATCAGGCTGTCTCACTAGGAAGGCATGATTGCAGCACTTCTTCAACTCCATGACAATATTGATAAAGCCAGAGATGCTCCCCTTCACACCCCTGCTGAGAGATTTGTAGTTCTTGGTGAGGATCCACCTGTAATACTGCTTCTGTATGGATGACAGCTCCACGCGCAGGATCTGTTCAACCTGCACACAAATGACAAATGCATCTGTTTGAATCTTTATGGTTTCTATAGACTTCATCATTGATTGGTTTCTAGTTTTTCTATTAATGCTCAATACTTTTTACTGTAAACTATGTCTGTTATATTCATACATTTCAACAAAACATTACAGATACATAGAGAGCTACCTCCCAGATCACTGGATATCCTCATTGACAGAGCTTCAGAGCTACTTTTGGTGTTGCATCTAATCTTTCTTTTCTAACCAGTATTCCACAATTTTGACTCCTGCAATGTCATGAATGAAGATGAAAACATGTCTTACCTTTGCTGGTAGTGACTTCTCCACATCTTTCTTAACTCTGCGAAGAAGGAAAGATTCTAATTGTTTGTGGAGATTAGCATAGCCATTTCTGTCTGCATTACTATGTCTATCTTCAAATTCTATCCATTTGTCAAACTTTTCTGGCATGATAAAGTGAAGGAGAGACCATAGTTCTTTGAGAGAGTTCTGGAGTGGGGTTCCAGTGATCAGCAGACGATGGTTAGTGTGGAAGTTAAAAAGTGATTTATATAGCATGGAGTCATCATTTTTCAGTCTATGTGCCTCATCAACTCCCAACACACACCAGTTGATATTGCCAAGAAATGACTGAAACAACAAAATAACAAATTAAACTGTGATATGGGATAAACATTACATATTCTTAACCTAAAACCAATCATCCTTATACAAATGTCCATATTCTTTTGCATTATCCATAAAATCACAAGAAATGACTGAAAAAACACAATAATCTTATATCATAGTGTACAAATTGAGACAGGCTTTACATATTTTCTCACTTTATCCGCAACATTAAATAATCTTGAAACCAATCATCCTTATACGTGTAGTCCATATAACTGTACCGTAACAACATCTCGGAGTTTGTTACCTTGTCTTTGAGCAGGATTTCATAAGTGGTTACTATGACATTAAACTTCAGCCTCTTGTTGCCTGGATGAACCCATTCATATTCCCGGATCTGAAAGTTTACAATTCATTAAAGCAAACAAGCTAACAATGATATTTCACACTTGACCTGGAACATTTTCTTGACATTTAATGTTAAAAGAACAGCCACGAAAGCACCTTCAGATGAGACATCCAAGAAATATAGTCAGTTCTGTTCACCAAAGAACTGGATTTGATGGTTTGTTTGTCTAATGTTAAAATCAATTCATATAACCCAGTGTTTTTGTTCTTGAAATACCACCCTAAGCCATATGCTTTTTCTGACTATAGTTTATAAGAAAGGTGTATGGGTACTCACCATATTCCTACTGCCGATGTCTCCAAGGTAGACAACAACATTCATGTCAGGGGCCCATGTTGCGAACTCTCTCTGCCAGGCCACCACTGTGGAGAGAGGCACCACCAAGAGGAATGGACCATACACCTGGTGCTGATTCATAAGATATGACAAGAAACCAATTGTCTGGATAGTCTTGCCCAAACCCATCTCATCAGCTAATATCACACTATTACCTCTAAAATAAAATAAAACATATTTTCCATTATATAGTACACTCTACATATCCAATGGTTTTCTCCAAAATGTTCAATGGAATATATTGAATTGATTGAATGTGATAGTTAATAATTGTAAGTCCAATTGGTTGACTGGCTCTAGTGAGTAGCAAGTGATGCTTACTTGCACCAAGAGTGTGCCAACCAGTTGAGTCCATCCATCTGATAATCTCTCAGCTCCAGGCTGTTATTGTCACCTCCAAGATAGTTGGGCTGGTGCTTCATCTGGATGAACTTAGGCCGGTACTTCAAAGCCTGAAAAACAATATACAAAATTCCAAGGGTACTAGTCTTGTATAAACATTATAATGAAAACATGCATTTTACCAGAATGTAGGTCAAAGTGGCAACCATTCGAGATGCAATAGTTTAATGTATAAAACTAGTTGAATAAAATTACCTTTTCTGTGATCAAGTGTGTATGAATAACTAACATGGGTGTAGTTTGTTAACAATGTTAAAGACTTACCTTGCACACCTTTGTTGGAATTTTCTGAGATTTGTTACGTAAAGTAAAAGATTTGACTAGTTCTGGAAATTTCTTTTCAATGAGATCCCCATCTTCCCAGGTACTATCTGAGTATGGAAGTCCTGACCACTTCACCAGGTAGTCATTCTGACCTGCCACTGTCTTGTGTGCACCCTGGTGAACTAAAATCAACAAATAATAGCATGTAGTCATTCTGACCTGCCAGCTACTGTCTTGTGTGCACCCTGATGAACTAAAAATCAACAAATAATAGCATATGAGTTGTCACAACATTTTCAAATCAAAATGTCCTAATCATTCCCTGATTCAAGACAGTGTCAAATTACCCAACTACATGTTGCTCATCATCAACAAGAAAGTATCAGACTTTCCTTCATGACTAAAAGTCAAATATTTCCTGACCAGTTTGGACATTTTAAGCAATTCTGAAATGGCCACACTTTTCCCTGACAGTGACAGGGAAATGATTGATTTAAATTGAATGATTAAAAGTTGAATGCAATGTTATATTCTCCATATCTTCTTTAGGTGCTTAACAAGAGGCTCACCTATAATTCTCTCTACATTGCGATGTTGATCTAGTAATTGCTGTGCCATCTCCTGCTGGCAATCAGAGTACTCACCTATAATTCTCTCTACATTGCGATGTTGATCTAGTAATTGCTGTGCCATCTCCTGCTGGCAATCAAAGAACTCACCTATAATTCTCTCTACATTGCGATGTTGATCCAGTAATTGCTGTGCCATCTCCTGCTGGCAATCAAAGTACTCACCTATAATTCTCTCTACATTGCGATGTTGATCTAGTAATTGCTGTGCCATCTCCTGCTGGCAATCAAAGTACTCACCTATAATTCTCTCTACATTGCGATGTTGATCCAGTAATTGCTGTGCCATCTCCTGCTGGCAATCAAAGTACTTACCTATAATTCTCTCTACATTGCGATGTTGATCTAGTAATTGCTGTGCCATCTCCTGCTGGCAATCAAAGTACTCACCTATAATTCTCTCTACATTGCGATGTTGATCTAGTAATTGCTGTGCCATCTCCTGCTGGCAATCAAAGTACTCAACTATAATTCTCTCTACATTGCGATGTTGATCTAGTAATTGCTATGCCATCTCCTGCTGGCAATCAAAGTACTCACCTATAATTCTCTCTACATTGCGATGTTGATCAAGTAATTGCTGTGCCATCTCCTGCTGGCAATCAAAGTACTCACCTATAATTCTCTCTACATTGCGATGTTGATCCAGTAATTGCTGTGCCATCTCCTGCTGGCAATCAAAGTACTTACCTATAATTCTCTCTACATTGCGATGTTGATCTAGTAATTGCTGTGCCATCTCCTGCTGGCAATCAAAGTACTCACCTATAATTCTCTCTATATTGCGATGTTGATCTAGTAATTGCTGTGCCATCTCCTGCTGGCAATCAAAGTACTCACCTATAATTCTCTCTACATTGCGATGTTGATCTAGTAATTGCTATGCCATCTCCTGCTGGCAATCAAAGTACTCACCTATAATTCTCTCTACATTGCGATGTTGATCCAGTAATTGCTGTGCCATCTCCTGCTGGCAATCAAAGTACTCACCTATAATTCTCTCTACATTGCGATGTTGATCCAGTAATTGCTGTGCCATCTCCTGCTGGCAATCAAAGTACTCACCTATAATTCTCTCTACATTGCGATGTTGATCCAGTAATTGCTGTGCCATCTCCTGCTGGCAATCAAAGTACTCAACATCCTCTGGGGTGGCCTGCCGCTTCCTGGCGGGAAAAAGATTAAACATTCAGCAGATGTTTATAAATAGAATACATACATCAAACATAAAGACAGTTTCCTTTTTTATTTCTACATTTGATGAGCAGCAGTCTCAGTCATCTATTAGAAGAATCAATCAAACATCAGGGTCACAATTAAATTGAGGCATTTCTACATATAAACTTCATTACTTACCACATGGCTATTTCATTATTAGTCTTGATGAAGTTGTCTAGTTTCTTCATGCCATTGACTTTCTGTGCCTTAAGTGTTTCTATGGACTCCCATGTGTTATGTATATGAGACCATCCCTTCCATTTGACAAGGTACTGGAGCTCTGTAACTTCGTCATCTTTCCCAGCCATCTGCTCTGCAGGGTCACCCTGGTCCTGGACATTGTACCATGTTGTCTTATGGCCAGTGCCTGAAATTGTATGATAAACTCTTGTAACCAGTGCCTGAAATACATTGTGCCATGACCAGTGCCTGAAATACATTGTACAATGTTGTCTTATGGCCAGTGCCTGAAATTGTACAATATACTCTTGTGATCAGTGCCTGAGATACATTGTACCATGTTGTCTTATGGCCAGTGCCTGAAATTGTATGATATACTCTTGTAACCAGTGCCTGAAATACATTGTACCATGTTGTCTTATGGCCAGTGCCTGAAATTGTATGATATACTCTTGTAACCAGTGCCTGAAATACATTGTACCATGTTGTCTTATGGCCAGTGCCTGAAATTGTATGATATACTCTTGTAACCAGTGCCTGAAATACATTGTACCATGTTGTCTTATGGCCAGTGCCTGAAATTGTATGATATACTCTTGTAACCAGTGCCTGAAATACATTGTACCATGTTGTCTTATGGCCAGTGCCTGAAATTGTATGATATACTCTTGTAACCAGTGCCTGAAATACATTGTACCATGTTGTCTTATGGCCAGTGCCTGAAATTGTATGATATACTCTTGTAACCAGTGCCTGAAATACATTGTACCATGTTGTCTTATGGCCAGTGCCTGAAATTGTACAATATACTCTTGTGATCATTGCCTGAGATACATTGTTCCAAGTTGTCTTATGATGAGTGCCTGAAATACATTGTTGTCTTGTGACCAGTGCCAATTGAAAAATGGTATATGTAACACATAACAAGGCCAGTTTTTAAGGGCACTTAAAATTAATGGAGGATGTTCTCTATATTTCCAAAACACCATCTGATGGGATATAATTGGAAAAGGTTTTAAAAAGTTGCCAATAAATTCAGTTCTCTAGAATAATGATTTAAAAGAAAATTTGCTTACATCCTTTTCTTCCTTTGCGCACATCTAGTACTCTCTCTATGGTTTCAGCATCATTGTTCACTTCCTTAGTCTTAGTCTCTGTGGCCTCCATGATGTCATCACTGTCTGTCTCATCATTACTGTCTTCCTTGTAACTAGACAAATAAACACATGTGTTACTAGGCAAAAACACATGTGTTACTAGACAAATAAACACATGTGTTACTTGGCAAATAAACACATGTTTACTAGACAAATAAACACATGTGTTACAAGACAAATAAACACATGTGTTACTAGACAAATAAACACATGTGTTACTAGACAAATAAACACATGTGTTACTAGGCAAATAAACACATGTGTTACTAGACAAATAAACACATGTGTTACTAGACAAAAACTAGAAAACTAACAACTCAACTTAAAAAAACCTTAGAACATCTAAAAAGTATCAAAGACTGCTACAATTCGTTTCTACAAATATCCACCATACTAGCTTAATAACCATACATAATTTTGCATTTGTACATATAAACTATGAACATAACTTTTCAAGTTAAAACAAAAAATGTAGAAAATGACACATATAAATGGCCCCCATTTTTCAAACTGGCTGTCTTTATATTGAATATCATATGAGACATAATGCCTCATGCTTTCAGCTATTGTATTAAATATCAACAAAATCATTCTTACTATATACAAGTTTTTAAATATGGTCCCAATCTCATATAAAATGTCTCAATAAATTGCCCAATCACCTCCAGTTATGCCAAAAAACAACAAAATAACATATGAAAAATGGCTGCCATTTTTCGAAGTGGTCACATACTAGTTAAATTATCATCAGGCAGTGTGTAATGCTGCTAAGTGTTCATATATAGAATATCCAATATCTATATGCATATTTACATACATACTTACAAGATAACTAGTTATAAATACATGCAATATTAACTCATCAGAACATTTACTATATTACTTTTACACACAGATGTACAAAGGGCAACATAACAAACCATTTCCCATATTTGGAGCCAAACAAAAATAAAGGGTTGAGCTTACTAGAAAAAATAGGGAATCCCAAAATGACACAAGGCATTAACATGCAAAATGTCACTACCTGCCATTTGTTACAGACACCTAACACCGAACTTGACCGCCAGACACTGTCACAATGTCTCCACTTGTGGTGGTGACATAAAAACCAAATACACCATGCAAACTATCAAGACACACAAAACAAAAGCCTTTGTCTAGTGACCAAGTAAATAAAAATGAAGTAGCCATGATACCAGGTTTTAAATAATCAAAAACCAAATGTAAATCTTAACTACTAAGAGAAGCAAATCCCACTGAACAAAATATATTTTCTTAAATTACTCATCAAATATTATAAAATAAAGATCCAAAAGTTGGATCAAAACTGATAACGAAATATGCTGGCCATTTTGGATTGAGTGGCCATATTGAAAATTTCTTCATCAGACTATAAAATTTGAACAAAATCATTCAACCAGTATTTGATAGATGGAAAGATGGACTGCTTTTCTAGTCTATATCCCACCCTAACTATGTTCAGTGGAATAATAGCATATAGATCACCCTATTATATAAAAAATAATAGCATATAGATCACCCTATTATATAAAAAAAATTATATATGACCAGCCCAGAAAGTGACTCACTCAATCTAGGCCTCATTTTTAAATAGAGGCTTGAAGATGTCAAATGTTGGATAAATGCTATGTACAAAGTAAATTATTCCTGTGGAGTGAGTCAGCACTCGGCACCTTTATTCCTCCCAAATAGCTAGCTTAAGCTTATGCATGGCTTAATAATAATGTGGCGATTTCATTGATCCCAACTTATCACCAGATAAGATATAAAAGACAATTTCATGTAGTCCTGTAGGCAGGCATTCCATAGACCTGTTTCTGACACATTCTGCCATCAGCCAAAATGTGTATTCAAAATTTATGAAAATTGTTTATGGAAGTGTTCCACTTCATGGATTAAGGTATCGTCTAAAGAGGTACAAAAGTAAATACTGCAGGACAACATGAAAACTTCCAGAGGCTTATGATATATTTGCTTATATAGTGCAAGTTAGTTCTGATCATATAGGCTAAATAATGAATGCTACCAGGCAGTAAGTGAATGTCAAGCAGGGTTTGCTGTGGTCTTACCTGACATTTTGCTTGGCTGTCTTACGATTGGATACTCTAGACGAGCCCTTAGATTTGCTGCATGAACAACAAATATCATATTACATGATGCTAACAATAACCCAAACATCATAAACTTGTAATATTATGAAAGTTCATAAGGAAATTTAGCTGAACCAGACAAAGTTGAACAAAGCTCAGTATTTTTACTAGTTCAATATATTTACCTAACAGGCTTCTTTCCCAGACTACGATAAGACTGTCGTCGATCATCATCACTGTCGGAATATTCCTCCGAGGAAGAGTGTTTCTTTCTTGGACGTCCAACTCTCTTCTTGCCAGTTCTCCCAGCAGACTTCTTGGTTTGTCTTTTGCTATAAACACGCAAAATAAGTTCATGTGGCCAAGTATTCACAAATGAACACAAACATGTGTAAGGTCTTGTTGTGCAAGCTACTCATTAAACAAAAGATGGATGTTAGTCTTTTGCCAATTTAGAGTGTGAATCTTCTTATTATATGACCACATACTTAGTTTGTTTCCTTGCTCCTCTAGTTGTGCCACGTGCAGGTCTGAATCCATCACTTCCTGAACTGTCTGAACTATCTGAACTGTCTGAATCATCTGAACCGCCTGCCCACTCATCAGACCTAGAACATAATACTATTGTAACAACAAAATGTAATTCATTACAACAAATAGTTATATATACAACTTAACTCTATCTATAAAATACCAGACTTTGCAAATACAACAAAGTGCTTATCATATGGTAAAATTACCAATAATTAAATAAACATGGTACATGTATTTTCATTTGTTTTGACAGTTGTGTGTATTTCTAATGATACCCTTGATAACCATTTGGTCATATCTCTCTTTGAAACCTAAATATGATTACAAATTGCAAATGTCTCACTCTTTTCTCTTTCTTCCACGTCGTCTCTTGGTGTGGTCATCACTGTCGGAGCTCTGAACCTTGAAACGTTCAGGTTCTGCCCTTGACCTGCCAGACCTCCGTACCCCATACAGATCGGGCATCTCTTCCCACATCTGAAACACACATAAAGTAAGGCATGTTGATGGAGCGTTTTATCTTGGAATTCATTTGCTACAGTTACAACAAGAAATCAAGCAATTTGTAAGGTTTAATCATCCTTATACATAATAAGGATACATATCAAATTTAGAAAAAGTTGGCGATATAATTATTCCATAAAATATGAAGGCTCTCTAATCAGCAGCTACACATTGGACCCATGACAAGCCTGAGCATGCATTATTTTAGTGAATTTTGAGTGAACCAAGGTTCATCTGGAAGTATGCATGAAGTCACTTACATGTATCATAAATTTCATAAATATAAAGGGGATTGTCATTGGATGGTCACACCAGTTTGAAAAATGACATCCATGCCACAAATCAGGATTAATAGTATTCAACTTTTGTGAAACATAAATGTAATATTAATAATAGTTAAGGATCTGAAACATGAAAGTAATTCTGAATAGTTCCATGCAATGTGAAAATGTATTGATACCCTATATGGACATTTTCATTTACATTTGCATGTCCTCACTAACAATGAGAAAGAACAACAAGAGAGAGAGCAACATGAGATAATGAAATGATGAACTTACGGATTTAATATCTTTGATCCTCTGTCTCTTGGGTTGTTTGTCATCATGAGATTCACTACTGGAGACTACAGAGATGTGTTTACCGTGGCTGTTACCATTCTGCTGGCCTGGACTACTGTGATCGGAGCTGCTGGATCCTGACTTACTATCAGAATCTGAGCCAGAACTGGAGCCACTACCACTGCTGCTAAAAGAACATACACAAACTTAACTAAAAATTATGTTAAAAGGTTGAATCATTGAAGTGATTGGACTGACTCCATTGACTGAACAACTAAACAAAACAATAACATGCAAAATGTCACCACCTGCCATTTGTTACAGGTGTCGTGATTTGTTACAGACCCCGTGATTTGTTACAGACGCCGTGTTACGAACACCAAAATACCAAACACCATTCACAAAAATGTTGGAGACTATAACGATATGTCACTGATTCTGGTGGTGACATAATAATGTTGGTAACTTCAACAATATGTCACCACTTATGGTAGCGACATAAGAAATAACCAGGAAATAGTAGGTGATGCCATAGTATAAATTCCTTCTCAAGTAGAGGTCTTATTACCATAAGGCATCAGCCAATAAATTAGACTAAATCTGATGACTGGTATTTTACACTGACAGAAAAAATCATATTTTTCCTGAGAAATTATGGCCAATTAGAATTCATCATTTAACAAAACCAAAACTGAACCAAAACTGAACCAAAACTGATAACTTGTAATGTATTGAATTATCAAAAATATATCTTTTACAGAAAAAGGTGGTCATTTTGAATTCAGCAGCCATCTTTAAAATTCCAGATTCCTATGTTCCTTAGGCATCAGCATATAAAATTTGAACCAAATCTGTCAACTCATATTTGAATTTTCTAAAATGGCAACCATTTTGAATTGAGTGACCATATCAGAAATTCTTTCTTGAGCATTCCTTCTACAGTCTATAGATTTTGCAGAGCTGTCAAGTGTCCCGCGAATGGCGGGATTATCCCGCGAATTTGATCAAAATTAGGCTAATTAGCGTGTCCCGCATTGTCCCGCGAAGTCCCGCAAAATGTGGCTTTGACCTCCGCGAATTTCCGAAATTGTTGCAATCCCCTATATTTTGATTATCTTATCTTATATAAGAAGCTAAGTTTTTTCACTTTTGAGGAGTAAAGTTTACCTAATTTTAAGTACCTAGCATGCTGTTGTTTGGTATCAAAATAAAGGGGAAGGGTTCAACTTTCATTTTAATTACGAAAATAGGGATGTAGGTCACAAATAGTTCCAACGTTGGCCTTTTTACTACCCGTGTGGCCTTCATCTCAGAACTGAGCAAATGTTAGCAAACGCGAGTTACAATAAATGTACGCTGATATCTAGAAAGGGTTTGTATAAAAAACCACTACCGGGTAGTAAATCCTCCATGCTGGGTTCAAACTTGGTACCCGGTACCCAGTCAAAAAAACGGGTACCCAAAAAACGAAAAATACGAATATATAACACAATTAGATTATGAGAAAACGTGTAAGATTTGTTTTGAATTTGCAAAAATGTATGTAACATGATTCAAAATTGAGCTAGAAGCTTCAAATAAAAAGCATATTTTAAGGCACTTTTCTTCCTCTATCGTTATGGCCATATTTTCATTGGTTATGGGGGGGGTGCGATCGCACCATCGCACCCTTTCCTGGCTACGCCTATGACATTGTAAGACATAACTATTTACAATTCAGTGGACATTTTGTCATAAATTGGGATAACTTAAATTATGATTAATAATCAAAATCTTACACGTTGCATCATGCAAATTAACACACGTCACCTCTCTGCTAAAGCAACAATAGCTATTTACAGATTTAAATCATAATCAAAACAATTCACGTACCAACATATTGAAAATAGAGTAAGATTGATTTGTCTTGTTTTTCAAATCGTCTTACAATGTCATTGGCGTAGCCAGGAGGGGGTGCACCCCCCCCCTTCATTACCAATGGAAATATGACCAAGATGATAGAGGAAGAAAAGAGCCTTAAAATGCTTTTTATTTGAAGCTTCTAGCTCAATTTTGAAGGAAGTTACATACATTTTTGTAAATTCAAAACAAATCTTACACGTTTTCTAATGATCTAATTATGTTGTGTATTCGTATATTTCGTTTTTTGTTTTTTTTCGATCGGGTACCAAGTTTGAACCCAGCATGGAGGATTAACTACCCGGTACCCGGTTTTTTATACAAACCCTATCTAGAAAATTAACCTCATTCCCTATAACTTGATGTAGATTAATCGAACCCCTATATCATGGGCTTTCAATTGAAAGCCCATGCCTACAGTATATGAAAAGGTACATTTTAATATATAACATTATGGGGGTAAGTGTTTCATAGTTGGTCACGACGCCAGAAGTGCAAAGTATTGTTCCGAATTTTTGAATTTCGTGTTAGATTACGGTAATCACACCTGAAGCATGGTTTTTGTTTTTGATAAATTACAATAAAGTTTAATAATATTCCTATGCGTATTTTGTGAAATCGTGTTGACGTTTATTTAAGTTACAATGTAACAATACATTATATTTGATTAATCAGTATCTGAAAGTTTGATTTAAGTACTTCTACACGCTTTTACATTAGTCCCAATCACGCAAATCCCTTGAATGTCCCGGGACATCCTGCAAATTTAGGTGGATGTCCCGCGAAATCCCGCAAATTTAGGGCACTTTGTCTAAAAAATCTGTCCCTCTATGAAGTTTTTGGTGGTACACTTGTTAACTGTCCCGCAATTAGGGTGTTTGTCCCTCGAATGGTCCCGCGAAATCCCGCGAATTTGATCAAAAAAAATCTCCTATTAGCACAATCATGCAAATCCCTTAAATGTCCCGCAAAATCCCGCGATTTAGTAGATGTCCCGCAAAATCCCGCGAATTTTGGGCACTGGGTCTAAAAAATCTGTCCCGCGAGAAAATCTTAAGGGGTTGACAGTACTGATTTTGGACCAAATCCTATAACTTGTATTTAAGTTATATGAACTCTTTTTATGTCAAAATTATCAACAAGACACAGACGTGAACAATATCGTACCTAAAACACAGCATTGTGGTCTTGTTGACCAACAAAGCAAGATGGCCGCAGAAAAGTTAATCAGCTCTAGAACTCATCACTGTGTAACATATGTAAAAATTTGAACGGTTTGGCTGGAAACCGGTAGACAAGTCTTGAAAGTGAAGATTTTAGGCAGAAAATCCAAAATGGCCACCTTAAAATTTATCCAGAATGCCCAAAAACCAATCAGTTCTTGACGTTGATATGTAGAAACATCCCTGAAAATTTCAGACGAATCCCTCAAATGGTTTGGCTAAAATCTGTAGACAAGTCTTGAAAGTGAAGATTTTAGGACAGAAAATCCAAAATGGCCACCTTAAAATTTGCCCAGAATGCCCAAAAAAAACTAATCAGTTCTTGACGTTGATATGTAGAAACATCCCTGAAAATTTCAGATGAATCCCTCAAAAGGTTTGGCTGGAAACCTGTAGACAAGTCTTGAAAGTAAAGATTTTAGGACGGAAAATCCAAAATGGCCACCTTAAAATTTACCCAGAATGCCCAAAAACTAATCAGTTCTTGACGTTGATATGTAGAAACATCCCTGAAAATTTCAGATGAATCCCTCAAATGGTTTGGCTGGAAACCTGTAGACAAGTCTTGAAAGTGAAGATTTTAGGACGGAAAATCAAAAATGGCCACCTTTAGATTTACCCAGAATGCCCAAAAACTAATCAGTTCTTGACGTTGATATGTAGAAACATCCCTGAAAATTTCAGATGAATCCCTCAAATGGTTTGGCTGGAAACCTGTAGACAAGTCTTGAAAGTGAAGATTTTAGGACGGAAAATCCAAAATGGCCACCTTAAGATTTACCCAGAATGCCCAAAAACTAATCAGTTCTTGACGTTGATATGTAGAAACATCCCTGAAAATTTCAGATGAATCCCTCAAATGGTTTGGCTGGAAACCTGTAGACAAGCTGAAAAGTGAGATGCCGCCCGCCGCCTGTCAAGCTGACTACAATATCGTACCTTTTGTTAGGTATGATAAAAAAGCTGGGAGAACTTTTGGAATGGTGATAACAGACAAGAAGAATGGTAGATACTATGGATGGTAATATGAATTAGATTAAATAATTGTAGATGACTCCACTTAGGGTCTTAAAAAAAGCAATATTGATAGACAAATATACTAAATATGTGAACCAAAAACATGGTATTTTTTTAATTCAATTCATTTACTGTACATAATACAGTTGTTTGTTGTGTTTGGTTTTCTATATATACTCAGTGTCATTAATCATTATAAGGTGAACAACAATACAATGTACAAGTCATAATGACATTGACTGTAGGGAACAGACATATTACAATAATCTGATCAAGCTATAAAAATGCTTGAAATAATCAATATTCAATGTCATATGGAATTCAGAATTATGACACATTTGCATGATCATTATTTCTACTTGAATCTTTGCTATGCCCATTTATGCCATTATTGCTTGATTACATCTTTGTGAATCCTTGCAATGCCTGTGTATGAAATTAATTTAAAACATGGATGCTAAAATGAGAATAGTCTTGTTGATTCAAATCCATTCTTGTGCTAAAGGCTCGTAAGCCAACTTGAACGCGTAGACAAGACAAGATGGCAGGATGGAAAATTCAAAATTGCCAGCTAATCATGATAATACCTAGAATGCATAAACTAATCAGTTGTGTGAAGTTTCATATCAAGAAACATTTATGAAAATTTCAGAATAATCAAATAGTTTGCCTAGAAATGTATACTTTACAGACAAGTTTTCTGTATGAAAATCCAAAATGGCTACCTCAAATTACCCAGCATGCCCAAAATCTAATCAGTTTTAGATTTTTATGCAAAGAAACATCCCTGAAAATCTGAAATCAATTCGTCAAATGGTTTGCCTGGTTTAAACACGACAATATAAAGCATTCAACTTATAAGATATGCATATAGGGAGCCAAGTCAATCTGACCCTATGACATACAGAACATTTATAGTAAAAATTGCAGGAACATGAAGGATGAGCAATATGACATGGACATGGTTGACAGATTTTGCAAACAAATTAACTGACTGGACATATTCAAAAATGCCCTTGAATCGAGAAATGGTGAGTGTCTAAATCAATAAAATGAGGTGTAAATAAAAGCAAGGAAAATACATTGAAGACCTAAGTGGAGAACTCGTTTTATGGTCCCAATGGTTACTTAAGGCCTGTACAATGTGTATGCAAATGCAATGTGTATGCAAATGCATGAGTCTATTAGTTACCTGGAGCCAGAGTTGCTGCTGCTACTGCTACTGTCATTACTGTTCACATCATCTCTTCTATCCTGGTTGGAGTTGTCATCTTCATCCATTGTGTTGAGCAATGCAATAACTGCTTACATTGCCCCTCAACCCTTGCGCAACCACTGGCTCTTATATGTAGAGATTCACTATAAGTTCTCAGAGACAGCTTGTTTGTAGGTAAGTGTCTCTGTATTAAAGTCTGCCTCTATACTACATCAACATCTGAAAGTATACAACATCATCCACATATTAATTCACGTAGAAATGTTCAACACCCATAAAATGAAACAATTTGCATGGTTTCTTGTGTTTGAACATGTGCATCGCAAATTAAAAACGACCAGGGTATTAGGCCATGTTTGAATTTTTTTGAAGAAGGCAGATATTGAATATTAATTGCCCCTTCATGTACTTCCCCTCCATGCACTGTATTTCTTCAATTATTTTTTGTCATGCTTTGTAAGTCATATAAGAAACAACAGCAACATAAATTGTGTGAGGTTAACATCACCTTTTATAAGTATTTATTACAGGTCATGTGGACCCGGACTGCTTCCTAAATATATATTACTTAAAAGGATGACTTCAGCATACTGGACGGTCCACCTTTTCAGTAGACCTCTAACCATAGAGATGTAGCAAAGTATAGGATATCATATTCTACCATACCAAGGGATTATTCATTAAGCAATTTATTTGGAAAGTGTCACATGAAAAAATGATTTTTAGATTTATTGAATAATCTTGCAAAAACTGTCAATGAAGCAGTGTCTATCGAAGTTGTGACGAAACATACCAAAGAAACACAGGAAGGGATCAGAAGGTTTATACGCTATAAGGGGATTGTGCTATTTTGGGTAAATGCACTATTTAAACCCTTAAAATTTAAATCAGATGATTTTTATATCATAGGAAAAAAACTTCTCCATGCAATGACTTGGTTTTCAATTCTGTCCCATAATAAAAATAAAGATGATGTGTCTCCTAGATTCGTAAATAGATAAAGATCTAACTTCAGTAACTGTATTTGGTCAAAATCATGTAAATAAGCAAAGGATATTCCATTTCTAAAAGAAATAAAATTTTCTCTCAAAGTTCCCTTCCCAAAAGTTGATTTTCAATCAAAATAGAAGGACAAGTTCTTTAACCAATTTGAAAATAACTGTCAGAGCTTGATGTCTGAACAGTACCAATCCTATGATGGGATTACAGCTAAAGAGCTATTTTAAAGCATTTCCTATTGGTCTGTGTTATACAGCGCGATCAAGTGATTGTCTTTTGAAGACCAGATTTTACTGAGCCATCCAACTATCGCAAACTACATTGAGGTATGGAAAAAAAAAAAAAAAAAAAAGTATTTTATGGTTTGACATCAATAATCTTTTAATATTATCTTTACCATTCATTGTCTTTCTCTAGACGTGTGAGAGATGCCGATTCAGACTGATAATCAACAAATCTGATCAAAATTTTTCACGAATTTTATTTTGTTCAGTTCACAAATGTGACTTGGAATTCTAGAGAACTCTTTCATAGATTTTTCAGGTAAGATTGATTGAGGTCTGAGCCTATTATTTGAAGTATGTTAGTCTCAGATTGAGGGGTCATCTTGATTCACAAGCTTTCAGTTGCCCCAACTTCAAATTGTGTATACCACCAATGTTCAAAGAAATTGAAAATGTTGATGGGTATCAACAGAAAAGATTTCAAAAAATCATTCAAATCATGTTGGGGAAAGGAGCAGAATCCGATAATAGACAAAGCAAATTAAAACAGCAAAGGGGTGAAAATATCATATTAATATGGGCAGGCTGATAGTCAACTTTTGTCTGGAGGTGTGACTTTCTGGAAGTGTAACTGCTCTGTGCAGCGCATTGAGTATACAATCAAGCTATTGGCATACTTTGCATATCTTAGGTTCAACCACTAATAGTTTTAGTCACTTTTCTGGATGAGACCCTAATTAAAAATAGGTATTTTATTTGCGAGTAACCTTCACTTTTGTCTGAAATTAAGAGTTAAATTACTATTGAACACAAATAAGATCTTGGAATAATTTTCCCTCTAAAAGATTTTCTCAATCACCCCTTTTCTTGATACTGAGTCATTTTTCGTCATCTTGCATTTTTTGTCTTTGAATGATTCTTGTAACATTCCATTTTTGTCTGGAAATAATTTCAGAATACACTGAACATCCTAACCCATGTGTCTCTCTGACAGACTTGTATAAGATGTCAGTATGTTAGTATTATTTGAGGCATAACTGATATCATTGTATAATTGTTGTTTCAATGTTATCCTGACAACTTATCATTTTCATTCAGACCCCTAGTGCCTGTCAATCTTTCTCATTTAAAGACCCCTGATTTTATTTATTTTCTCCCCCATTAAGGAGCAATTGCAAAGGTAATTCCTGTTTATCCATTAAAAATGTTTTAAAATTATATGTATTGTGTATGATATGAAATGTTAACAACATATGAAGAAATATGGAATGTTTTGACCATATGTCTAATAAGTGACCTAATAATATCTTAGAGCAAATTGATTAAGAATATTGACAAACCCCAAATTTTTCCAAAATATAAGACTTTTTCAGATCCATATAATGCTGTTAATCGTCAAATCATTCCAGGAAAAAGGGATCACAATTAGTAAATGTTAACATAGAGGGGCGTGGCACTTCTCTTTTAGACTCATTTTAGACATTTTTCTCCTTGGGATATCTGTAAATAGTGTTTAAGTTTCTTAAGCAATGACAAATACTAAGTTATGGTATTATCCAACAATATGATACAATATGATATTTGAAAACACAATTAAAACATTGAAATTCTTAATGAGAAAACTAGCTTTTAAATGTTAACAAAGGCTTATTAGGCCAGATATACGAAAGTGGCCAATTTAAAACTATCATTTGGAATGACATATATTATATATTATATATCTTTTAAACCATTAAATTCTAAAGGGGGTAAAATAATCATTAATATTATGTAGTCGTGCTTATAGTCCAAAAAATAGTATAAGCAACAAGATGAAATATAAAAGACAAGAATGGGGAAGCTGCTAAAAGGCAAAATGTTAAGTCCAATTAAAAGTGATGACACATCAAAACATATGGAAAACCATTCCTAATTGTATGTGTGTCAGTATATGTAAGATTTGGAAAATCTTGCATGATACATGTAAAAAAAATTAAATGAATAGGATACACTGCTTTAAACGAGAGAAAGCATTTTACTAAGACAAACTGTGACATTCCAAGTAGAGATGACAATAAAAATTCACGAATTTGGGAAAAATGATATGGATTCAGTATAATTGGTCACATGTAACCAATCTTGATCACTGATACACCATGGATATAAACAAATTTCACGTACGTTTACATTAGTAAAGACAAGAACTTTCACAATTTCTCTACAATAATCAAATGGGCCATGAAAGGGTCATCCTATCACACAAGTATAAAATGCTCAAAAGGGCCATCCTCAGATTTTCTTCAAACTCCCCCCAGAGTTACCCCTCTATATGGCCTACAACATATACACGACTAGTTGTGGTACACCAACTATTACGGGAAAAATTCTGGAGTTTTGTGTCATGTGTTCCCTTATATTCCCCTTTCTATAAGAACAGGAGGCATCTTTAAGTGGCCATAGCAAAAATGGGCCCTCCTCAAAATTCTCCGAAATTTCGACATAACCTCCCTTACAGACCCCATAAACACATACTAAAAGCAATAAATGGTCCGCTGACTATAACCACTATTTTCAGGCAGGTCTTTAGCACTTTCTCATCATATTTGATTGATACCCATATATCTAAGTTAAGTTTCTGGGCAAGATTTGCCTATATCACTATGTCTAGCTATGTTATATGCTAAAAATAGAAGGAAACACCACTCAAATGCACATATCCATACAGGAGGTCCTAAATGTTGATACAAAATGAAAAAAGCGACCCTACAATCATCACAAGGTATCTATATATAGTACCATATGTGACATTTACCTAAATAGTAAAGTGCCACACCCATTTATATTTTCCAAGTGATAGATGATCCTAGAGAGTTTCTTTATGATAAAGCATCTTTATAAACAATGGTAAATGGACAATCACATCAAATAAAGGCTGTATGACAAAAGCTAAGATCTGAAACATTCAACAATATGGCTCAAATTCAGTGCTATTTTCACATTTCAAAATTCTGACCTCAAGCACATTAAAATAAAGTTTATTATGCACATATACATGATACTACACATGCCCACCACAGTATAATGACATTAGGATCACAAATAGTGGCCTATAATAGCCACAACTTGATAAAAGTCATCAAGGTCAACTCAATGTTGAAACAGCATGGTGAAAATTACCAATACTTCTAAGTCCAATATTGGTTAAAATAAACAATAAAACACTGCATATTCTTATTAAATAGAAGCACAATGATATCAAAATGTAAAATCCTAACCTGTAATTGTAGAAAACTGTCTGTGTATTGCTAAACATGGGTTAGAAGTGGAGTAAAATTGCTTTCTCTAGATCCAAGATGGCTGCCAATGCTATGTGTATGCACAGTGACCTAGATATCTGTCTGAGTCAATAACATGCAGAGAGTCCTATTACACTGTAAAACACCTGTCACTTCTAATATTGAACTCACAGTTACACTACTTATCATAATCTTGATGGGTCAGGAAAATTATAATTTTAGAGACGTGGGGATTATGTTGTATAAAGCAGAAAGCCCCGACCCTGGGAAGATGGAGGCATTATGCATCAATGCTGTTGTAAACACAGCAACCAGCCGCCATTTCATGTCCTTAATAAATCTATCCCTTACATATAATCTATGGAATAACTTTATCAAAATTGTAAGTTTACGCTGTATGCTTATATTACGAAACAGTTTTCTAACAAGTTACAAATATATACAAATGTTTTAACTTGGTTTCATACTATTAAGTAACTTTAAAGTATCTGAAGATTGTAAGCAAGACATATTCTTATGTAAATAATAACTCATTGTTAACCATCCAACATTATTCTGTTATTTAAGAAAAAAAGAAATCAAATTCCAGATCACATCACAATGAAAAATACATGTAATAAACATGTTTGCAATCAAATGGAGATTCCCTCGAATTTGCCATGTGAAAATTGTTATCTGTTAAAAAATGTTTTCCTTCAAGGAATAAAGATTACGTAAAGGT